AGATGCATCCGAAACAGAATGCTGAAGGTTTGCGTAAGGTTCCTTAGGACAGATGTGCAGTACTGGGATTCCTCACACGCCATGTCACGTTATTTCCAGCTTTCTTCCGTCATTAATAATGTTGAGCTAACCATTCTCGTTTGTCAGCGTTTGGTGACAGCTTTGATTACAGCCTCCCCGCGTCCCCATCAGGATAAATCCCCAGACGTGGAATTACACGCTGTGGATAAATACGCTTTCTTCCATGGCTCGCTGCCTGTTGCTAACCTGGGTGCACGTTTTAAAGGCCCGTAGACAGCCCGTGAGAGCGCCCATTCCTCCCGCTCAGCCTCGGGCACCGTCCCTGCACCTCCACTGGCCCATGTCACCAGGACTCATGTCGCCGGGACAGCCCGGCGCCTCCTCGCCACCCCAGGGCGCGGCTCCCCACCTCCCCAGCCCAAACGCAGCAGGGTCAATTTTTCCAAAACACCAATCCAGCTCTGACGGTCCCCTACTCAGTCTGCCCAGGACTCCCCCGCCGGGACCACGGATAAAAGCCAACACCCCCACCCCTACTCGGCCCGCCTCCGCGCCCTGCTGCCCCCCCACCGCCGCCTTTGCCCGCGCGCCGACACCAGCCGGCGCCCCCAGATCTGCCAGACCAGCTCGGCATCGCGCCCGCAGAGGGAGGAACGCCGCCTCCTTTATCGCTCTTAAAATGGGCCACGGGTCTGTCCCCACGACTGGACAGTCCGCCTTGGTTCGGGCCCGCCCGCTCTGCGAGCCCAGCCTGGCCCCAGCAAAAGCGGGTGACCAAGTCCCGGAGTGGACGCTTCGGGGAGACCAAGCCAAGCCCTGCGCCCTGCTCCCTGCGCCCTGCAGACCACCCTTTCTCTTGGACCGTTTGCCTATAAAATACAGGACCTGCTGATGTGGTCACGGCATTCTTTTACAGTTCTTGGACTGTGTATGCCATGTGCTGTGTGACCTTGGGCAGGTGGCCCCACCTCTCTGACCCTTTATCCCTGTCTGTAAAATGAGGATAACAGCAGGCAATGGCTTCTGGGGCCACTAGGGGAAGGTTCTGCCTCTACAATGATTAGCACCTGATGGGTGTGAAGTGAGCCTGTGATGATGGGCTGTTGTCACAGATTGTCATAAAGGGACCCAGATGCTCGGTGCTTTGTCTGGGGACTTCCCAGCACACACAGAGAGGAGAGGGCTGGGGTCACACTGTGAGGTGGGCCACACTGGGGCCCCCACACACCCTCCCTTGGGCCTTTTTCTTGGAGGCACCTGCACCCTGGGTGGGCCTGGGCTCCTCAGGGGCCAGTCCCAGGAGGCCACTCTGGCTAAGGGTCCTTGGCTAAGGGTCTGGGGACCTGCAGACCTTAGGGAAGGTCCCCCTATGACATCAGCTGGAGCCCACCGCCTGGTGCTCCGGGGAGAGGCCCCTGCCCAGTGAGGGTCAGGGCCGAGGGGGCTCACCCCAGGGTGGCAGGAGGGGTGGGGGGAGGCTTGGGCACCCTGCATGGACAGCGGCCACCAGCTGCGAGGACGAGGGCGTCCCACCTCCGTTTCTGCCCTACCCGGAGGACTAGGGGGAGGAGAGTGAGGTCCAGCCTTGGTGCAAAATTTAAGGGGAGGGCAGAAAACTCAGGAATCAAGATAAATAGTATTTTACTATGATATTGAAAATAAAAATGAATTCAAAAAAATCCATGATGGACAAAATATGAACACTTTAAAGCTAGTGAATGCCCAGGCCCCGTCTGGGGTTAACCTTCCTTCTGACCCCCTGGCTGGTCTCCCCATGGGTCGCCCGTTCCCGACTCCGGCCACAGGACCCCGCGTCCCCCTGAGTCTCTCGTCCCTTACCTGCTCCACGCGCTCTGCATGCTGGACCGACTGCTTCCCACCCGGGCTCCAGGGCCCTGCTCCGAGGTGCCTCCGTCCAGGACAGGAAGCCGTGGGTGCCCACGGCCAAGCCCAGCAGCAGCAGGGGCCAGCGCAGGGCCCCCGGTCCCTTGGGGGCCTCACAGCCCACCTGGCCCTTCCTGGGCCTCATCCATCCTCAGGGTCAAAGGCACCTGTGGCCTGACTTGCCGCGTGGGGTCCCTGGAGTGGGACATCCTTGTCCCTCTCGCTGGCAGCAACTGTCCCAATGTGCCCCAGTCCATGTGGGCCTGTCCTCGCCCTGGACTGGTTCTGGTCCCTGCCCGCAGTGTGGCCCCTTCCAGGGTCCATGGCTGTTGGCCCTGGGGTTCTCTTCCAGAGGGACATCTGCCAACTGCCCTGCTGTGGTCGGGATCCAGGCTCAACTGACACCTACCACAGCCACCAGCCTGGCTGTGTCCCTGGGGCCCTGGGTGGGGCACACCTGACCTGCCCTCCTCCCCAGTTCCCCAAGGGTGCCCTGGGTTTGTGAGCAACTCCCTGGGGATGGTGGGGGGGGCCATGGAGAGCTGCCCACTGGAACAGGAGTCCCCGAGGGCTTGAGCTCCGGGCTGGGGATATGGCTTCTCTTCTGATCAGTTCCCCAGGCAGGACCCTGCACTCTGGCCACACAGGACTGCCCCTCCTTGGCTGGGTTGGCCGAGCTTGACCAGCTCCCCTCTGGCCCTCTCCTGAGTCAGGCAAGGGCCCTGCAGGGAGTGATTCTATATCCTTCAGGCAAGGAGTAGTGGTGAAATCATGCATGTGGAGTCCATGTACTGCTGGGCCTCAGTTTCCTCATCTGCAAAATGGGGAGAGAGTTTTGCTGCAGTAGGGAGGTTATGAGGATTAATGGAACCTTGTGTTTGCTAAGTGCCCACTGGGTGTTGAACAAATTCTGGCTCCCTTTTGCCCTTCTCTTTGAGGTTCAGAACAATTCTTGGGCTGTCCTTGGGGCAAGTGTGCCTGTCTTACAGGTAAGAAAACGAAGAGCTAGAGAAGATGAATGAGGGTCCAAGATCAATCCTGGAGTAGGGTGCAGGGTGCGCTGGAATTCAGCAGTGAGCCAGTCCCGAGCATTTCTAGCGCTCTGTGCACCTGGAAGCCTTGGGCCTGGCTCTGGAGGGAGCCCAGGCTTGAGTTCTGTTCGGTGGTGGCGGAGGAGGAGATGGCTGGGCAGGTGCTTTGGGTTGGTCTGTTCTGAAGCCCAGGGATATGATGCACACTGTAATGACAACGGCGCCGTGTGGCGCTGGCTGAGTGCTGTCCAAGCCCTAATGCTGGGAGCTGAGGTTACCCACCGCCTGCTCCCCCGCCCATGTGAGATGAGGAAACTGACGTGCAGGCAGAGTCCTTGCTTTCTTGATGCCACGCGGCCAAGAGGCGGCAGGGCTGAAGTTGGACTCAGAGGTCTGGCCCTTGCACAACACCAGGGTGTGCTCTGTCGATGATGACACAGCTCTCCACGTCCAGGTGGTAACATGCTGCTCCGTGCACGGGAAAACCCAAAGCCCAGAGCTAAGCGCACAGTAGCTGCTCAACTAAACAAGAACTGAATTTGAATAGAGCTTTCTTCTGCCTCATTTTCCCCCTGGTGTCCTTGGGGCTCTGTTACCTCCCCCAGCTCCCACTCTTCCTGGTGTCCCACTGTGCAAATATCTGAGGAGGTCCTCAGGACCCCATATCCCGATGAGAAGGGCCCCTGCTCTACCACTGCACAGAACTGCAGTGGGGGTCTGTCCTCTTGATTCCCTGTTGCTTTTTCTGCCACAAAATCTGAAATACATCTCTCAAGTTCAGATCTGCAGCCCTCTGGGGTTTTCAGCAACTCTAAAAGGCGCCTCCCAGGTCCTACCAAAGTGAATTTCCTGGGATGCCACTTTGACAGTTGCTTGGCTCACATTTTGACTCGGATACTTTTTAACTTTCTGGTTAACTTTGGTGACAATTGGTCCCGCTATTTTCGTGGGATGTGGTGACAGACAAACAGCCTGGGCCTTTATTTCACCGATACAGACTGCAGTTGTTGGGAGACAGCGGTCTGTTGTGGATCTTGTGTCTCTCCAGCAAAGGCACCAGTTGCCTTCCTTCCGGATCGTCCTTTCTAGGATGTTTGCATAGTGAACAACCTTGGAAAGTACAGATAGTGTGTCCCATTGGAGCAAAGGGCAGGCATACTTACTGTCCAGTATAAAAGATTTGGGGTCCCCAAGCTCAGAGGGGCAGATGTCACCTGGTTCTCTTTGCATTGCCTTGTGCAAGACCCTGCTGACACGTGGACAGTGGCAATTGCTGTGAATAATAAACTTTCCTTTGTCTCTGAGCCAGCAGCCTTGTGTCTTCTGCCAGCGTCCACGGAACTGTGGCAGGCTTACTCTTGAGCTTGCAAGTAGGGTGAAGTCTCCGACCATTCACAGTTCTTGCTAATGATGCTACCGAGGAGAAGGAGGAGGAAGACAGAGACGAATGAGTGAGGAAGTGGTGTCGAGGATGGCGATTGGGACTTAGCGTTTTGACTCAGCTCGTTGGATCCGCTTTCGAGGATCTCCAGGCTGGCTCTTTCCACTCCACAAACATTTCTTGGGCAACGTCTGAAGGCCAGGCCTGGTGCTCAGGGCCAGATTGTACAAATCAACACCACACATTCCTGATCCTGGAGATGCGCAAGGCACTGAACAGTAACGGGGGGTGGGTGCCCTAACGGATGTCATGCAAGGTACAGGGGAAGCCCCTGGGAGGCCCCTGATCCAGTCCAGCCTCTCTCTCACTGGGGGGCTTGGTCCACTCCTGCCTCTGACCTTGGGCTCCTTGCACCTTGGGGGCTTGGACAGGGTCTGCCCTGGGGGTCCAGGCTGATGCTGCTCCCTCCGCAGCCCCCCACCCCCGTGGGTGTGACGCACACCCACTGCTCAGGAGCTGAAAGCTGTGGTTCCCCCCAGGGATAGCCCCAGGTCTCGGGGAGAAGAAGGGGCTGTCCCTAAACATAGCAACCCCAGCTGCTGCCCCAATCCCCGCCCCTGCACGTGCCATGGTCTCTGGGTAGACGTCACCACCACAGACCACATCCTCCTGTGGTGGCCACAGTCGGAAATCCGGATTGGGCTGGACCCTAGGGACCCTCGAGGGCTGGGCTGGGCTTCCCCAGCTGGTGCAGCTGCAGCTCTGGCCACCCAACCCGCCCCGCCCCTTCCTGTTCTGAGATGTGCGAGGGATGGATTCGGACCCAGGCAGAGAAGTCTAGGTCCAGCTGTCCCACTCAGTGGACCCCCAGCTCAGGGTCCCTGGCACCTTGGCAGACCCCTCTGGGTCCTGCCTTGGTCCTTCTCTCCTGGAGCAGAGGGGCATGTCGCTGTCCCTCTGTCCTATTCCCATGTCCAAGGGCTCCCTGCACCCCAGCCTCCTGCTGGTCAGTCCCCTGCCCCAGAGACTCCACCTGTCGCCACTGAGGACTCCCCTCTCCGAAGGCCTGGGGATCCCCAGCTCCCCACTCACTACCTTTCCCCAACTCAAGCCGCCTGGTCTTTCTTATCTCATCTTGAGCTTCTCACCGTTGGGGCCCGGGGGAGGGTGCGAGGCACAAGGTGACAAATGACAAAGGTTCTGAATCTCTCAGAGACCTCACAGTCAGGGACTGGCTCTGCAGCTCCTGAGCTCCCTCCAAGGGTCCCCAGGACCTTTGGTGATCTTGGGGTTGCAGCCCCCACCCTGGCTGTCCTCCAGGAAATGGGCAGAGGTCCTTGCTCCCTCTGTAGATGTCACAGACTCACTGACCTGGCAGGGACCGTCTAGCTCCTCGAAACAGAGGTTCAGGGAGGGAGAGTTTCTTGCCTGAGACACACAGCAAGTTGGTATAAAGACTGTGTCCTGGGACTTACCAGTGCCAGCCAGAGACCTGGGAGGACCAGCCCTTTCGGACATGGGGTGGAGCCAGCCCAGGACGGGAGGGTGGGGTTTTGGGAAATTTCAGTTCTTTAACCTCGAACTGTCCCCCCAGCTGGCGGGGGTGCAGCCCTAAGGCGAGAGTCCAGCAGGGAACAGCAGAGACCAGCAGCGGAGAGGCCGGAGCCAGAGGGCCTGGTGCTCCTCAGAGGGGGAGGCTGAGACCGGGGAGGGCCCCTCTGGCAGGGCAGGAGGGGACGCAGGGGCTGGACTCTGGTTGGGCATCCCCGTGGGCACCTACCTCACCCCAGGACCGTGGCCAGGAATGGGGTGAGGGTGAGGAAGGAAGCCATTAAGGCGAGTCACATCCTGATATTTTGTTCATTGTAGGTTTGGGGTGTTAATTTTGGTTTAAAAATATTGCATTAAATATTATTTATCTGGATCACTAAGGTTTTGGATGCTCCTTTTAGTTTTGCATTCCTGCACAGGTGCTGCCCAGGGTCCTCCACCTGCCCAGCCCCAGGGCTCACCTCACCCTAGCCCTGCTTCTGCCTGGAACTCTGAGAAAACGCCCTCTAGACAAACGCACATAAATGCTATGCATCCGACACACAGCCTCTAGCGGGGCAGCGGCCATCTGTCCTGTCCAACACTGCATCCCCGGTCACCTGGCATGGCACTGGGCACACGGTGGGTCCTCCGTGAATGTTTCTTGGCCAAATGAACACATGGACCAGGATTCAACACCAGGTCCCTCTACACCCAGGGACCTCCAGCTTGGCAAGACCCCCGGGGTTGAACTCACTCACACCTCACGTGACCACCAGCTCTGCCCTCTGCCACGCTCTGCCCAACCCCAGCAAAAGGGATCACAGGGCATTAACTCACAGTGACATCGCTGATCCCTGGTACTGACCCCAAGGCCCCAAATTTAATTCCTAGACACAAACAACTCCTCCCCTAGGGTACCCCCCGTGGTCATTTCTATTAAAGGGGAAGCAAGCTCCTGTAGGACTGGGCCACCTGACCCTACACCTGTCACCCTGCACGTGGAGTTGCTTGTGTCTGGTGACTTAATGAAGTCAACCCTCGTCCCTGATCTCTTTTCGTCCTGCAGCGAATGTTGGTGCGGAGTGCCGAGGCAGCTGCGTCAACTCTTTTTTCCAGGACAGTTGTGCCAGGAGGACAAGGGTGTAAACAATAGGCGGTGTCGCTCGTTGCTGCAGGGAATTCCCGCAAACCAGGCAGACGGCTGGCTCCAGGGGGCAGATGGCTGTCAGCTAGGTGAATTGTTCATTGACCCAATGCATGTTTACTGATCAAGACTCGATTCAAGACCTTCCACTCCGTGTGTCCGCCGACCTGTGCAGTGATGTCACAGAGGTGACCCAATTCTAGTAAGTTCCCTCCTTGCAAGACCTGCCGAAAACCACTCAAATGCGGATACCCAAGCCTTATAAACCTCTTCTACTGCCCTCCCTCTTCCCAGACACTAAAATGATTCTGTCTGAGGGTCATTGTCCCTTAATGCTGATGCGCTTGGCATTGCCTGTGTATCAGGGTTTCTGTGGTCTTTGGCAGCTGGCAGTTGAGCATTAAAATGACCTGCTCTGTTTACAGTGGACAAGCTGAGCCTGGGGAGGGCAGGACCTTGCTCCCATCTCTCAGGAACGTGAGGGCAGCGCGGGACTAGAAAGTCCTTTCCACATGGAAAGCCATGTCCTGTTCAGCGGGTCAGGAGGGAGGGTGGGGCCCAGGGAGCCAGGCTGGGTGGGCAAGTTTGCATCTCACTTCCCCATCTGCCTGTATCACTGTGAGCATTGCTGCCATCCCACACTTGACAGTAATAGTCAGCCTCGTCCCCGGCCTGGGTCCCGCTGATGGTCAGGGTGGCTGTGTTCCCGGAGTTGGAGCCAGAGAATCGCTCAGGGATCCCTGAGGGCCTGTTGCTGTCACTATATATAATCAGCACAGGGGCCTGGCCCGCCTTCTGCTGGTGCCAGTAAGCATATTTATTTCCAATGTTGTTTCCCCCACAGGTGATCCTGGCCGTCTGTCCCGGGGACACTGACACCGAGGGCGGCTGAGTCAGCTCATAGGAGGCCACGGAGCCTGCAAGGAGAGAAACGGAGAGAGAAAAGGCTTGAGACTGAGGGGCTCACACCAAGGAGACCTTTCCCTGCCTGTCCTGGACAGAAGGTCGAGGATGAAAGGGCCCTCAGGGCACCAGCGAGCACAGTGTGGGGGTCTCAGCCCCACCGGCCCCCCATCCTGCAGCAGGGTCAGGAGCCTCCTGCCCACCACAGCCAGGGCCCTGCTGAGCTCAGAGTCAGGGCCAGGCTTGTCCCCGAGCCCTGGGGCTGGGCGGGTGGGGGATGCTGGGCAGCACCTGTGCAGTGAGCCAGGAGGCCGAGGAGGAGAGGGGTCCAGGCCATGGTGGAGGCGCCCCCGATGCTGCTTCCTGAGGCCCAGGCTGGGCAGGTGCCTCCCAGGCCTGTCTTATCCCCTTGCTGGAGAGAGCTGCCCCTGATGCAAATCAGCCCTGGCCAGGGGCTGCTGCC